GCCTTGCCAGCCCGCTCAGAGATGTGTATTAGTGAGAGCAGTATAACACCAATCGTAGTCCACATTTGCAAAATATTAGTGAGTTTTGAAACCTATAAAAAAGAAAGTGTCGCAACCGATATGTCCATGACTGTACAAGATCAAGTATTAAACATAAATTTTTTTATCCCTGTCAACATAACGTACAATGCAACTTATGATGCGTGTATAAAACAAACAAAAGAAATGCTACAATAAACATTACATAGGTGAAAATAATAAAATATTTGCGACAAGTAAAAATTAATTAGAGAAAATCATCTTTTGCGGATATGCGGGCTGCAGGAGATTGAATTAGTCGAATTAAGGAAAGAATCGCGTCAGCTGCCGGCGGCTGGAGGATAAATATAAGCGCAGTGACAACTCCGAAAGAAAAGCAAGGAAATCCGCGCGAGCGGAGCGAGACTTTTTGGGATATGTATGTACGTACTTCGAAAATACACGAACGCGAATGTGATTGGTAACAGATGCCTGTAAATGGTAACATGATCAACGTTCTCGGAGAATGTGATAGCCGTGCGCGCGCGCGCGCAAAACTTTTATCCGCAAGTTTCCATCCTATTCCATACTTTTTTTTTTTAATCGTTAAAATAATTAGAGTATTTTATTTCGTGCATAATCGTACGCGAAATTAAACAAAGAAACACAATTTTAAGGATCGGATTCCAGGTCCCCAATATATGTATAGTAAAGAAAGCTTATGTCTTTCATCGGCCGATCGTCGATTGCGTCTTTTGAAGACAGTCGAAATTCGATACCGATCAGGAGATATACAGGTTCTCTCGTGTTTAAGCGCGGAAAAACTGATCCAATTGGAGCGCGAACTGGATCGCACCGACGACGGAAGTGAGGTTGCGGGATAGCGATGAGTTATATCCTGCCGGATTGTACTTCGAAAATAAAAATCCGAAGGGAGAATAAATTGTGTCCGAAGTGCCGGGTGTCTGGGTGTTGGGATCGCGGATGTGCGAAGGATCGTCGCGCGACCGGCACAGCACAGCGTGGTGGTGGTGGTGGTGGCGGCGGCGGCGGCGGCGGCGCGACGACGAGAGCGATGCCGGTATCCTCGGCGAGTATCGCGTAATGACTTACGGCGTGCTGCGAAGACTGTAGTCGTTCGCGATGGTCTCGATGCCGCCGGCACGGGCCACGGCTACGTAACAGCTCTCGTTTCCAAAGTCAATCCCGATCACGGACATCGCGGCCATGGCTGTTGGTGTTTCCGCCGAATCGACACTTCCTTCGGTGTGACACGAGACAGAACGTTCGGCGGCTCACGTCGGCCCACTCGTTGGTACTCGTCGGTACTCGTTGCGCGTGTGTGTCCACACCTCCTCCACGGAGAAGTTGGAAGTCGCTGTTCGATTCGACGAGATTCGCAGTTAACGTCACCACGACTCTCTCTCTCTCTCTCTCTCTCTCTTTACCGATCGCAAGCAGATCGCGAGTTCAATGGTGAACAGAGATCCGATAGACACGTTCGCACCACGATACTCCGAAGGAGATATTCTCCACCGGACGCGACACAGCACACAGGTCACACAGAGGCAGTCGGGCACTGCTTTCTGGCCTTCTGCTAAGTTCGCTTCAAAACTGGCCAATCATGGCAGCGCTGTGGCACGCGCCGATTGGCGCGCCACCCGCTCTGGAATATTCTGGAAACTCCGCGAGATTGGTCGATTCAGGTCGATTTCGCACACCGTACGTCGGACTACGTCGGACGGTCGGACGCACTCGGATGCGATGTTTCTTCGAAAATTCTCGAAAAAGTCGAACGCCACGCGCCACGCGCCGGTTTAGTTCGTGCGGTTCGCAGGCGGTTCGTCGTTATATTCACAGCAGGTGGCAGTGGATGGCAGGTAACAAGCAAGAGTCTCAAAAGGATCGGATTCACCGGATATTCGCATGTCGATTTGTCGAGTCGCGTGATCATTTGCTCGCAATCACATACGAGTAATTCGAATTTGAATGCGAGGAGCGAATATAGCTTTCCGTCGCGCAATACGATACGGCAGCCGATGAAAATGATCGAGCGTTGAAAATTTTTACAAATCACGCATATAATATATTCAGACTGCCGCATGCGTTTCTCATAAATTCTATAATGCGATCGTCGGTACCTCTTTCCTTTCTCCCTTATGCTTTTACATTAATCGCATTAAAGAGAATTAGTTACCATAAAAGCGAAAAAAAACACTAATCGCTGGTGAGAAAAATTCTCATCTCATTTTTAAGTATTTTTCATATTTTAAATTTGTAAAGATTTCTGAAAAATACTTTACTTAAACTTCTTCCGATTTTATAAAGTTTCTAATTCGCAAATTATAGAATAAAAAATTTTAAAATACTTTAGAATTTATAATATACATATGTATAAATTAAGAATTCTTGAAAAGACATAATAAACTTTCTCAGTATTTTGTGTGAAAAGTTTTTATATAAAAAATTCGCGAAAACATTTCTAAAAGGTTATAAAAGAATTCTAAAAAACTGAAAAATTATATATAGAATTTTAAAAAATAGTGCTTATGATACATATAAAGAAGAAAACTTTCGATAATTCGAAAGAAATACATTTGATAAATGCTACATTTGATAAATATTGCAAGAACATTGTGGATATATTGAAATTTTAATATTTCATAGACATGTTGTTGACATTAATATAACATTATAATTTAATCATGTATTATATATTATATATATATATATACATATATACACATATATATATATGTATAAATATTCAGAAATATTGTAGATATATTTTTTATGATATATATTCTGTCTAAAACTATAAATTAATAGATTAAATATAATTGTAATAAAATTGTTAACAAAACTTTAGTTAATTGAAATTAAAATTATTTAAATAACTGGAAAACAATATTTATATTATTTATTAATGGTTTTATTTATATTTTATTTATGTACATATAATAAAATGATATAATTTATTTAATTTTTCTGAAAACAAGCAACTTTCTACAATGGTATTCTTTGAATATTGCATTGATGTTTCAAGAATATGTTTGCAATATATTTTTAGATATTTCAGTATAATTGCAGGAATATTAATAAATATCTTTTTGAATATAATGGAAGAATATTATTGCAAGTTTCAAGAACATTTTTTTTAATTTTTCAATCCTGCAAAATAATATTCCTGCAATATTATAACAATTAATATTTTGTGTTCTAAGCATTACTTTTTATCTTTTTCTAGTTCATAAAAATTAATTAGAAAAAGATAAAGAATAAGTTAAATCGGTATTAAAAATAATAATATTATATTAATATTAAAAATACAATTAATACAGATAATGGGCTATATGAGCCATAGATTTGGTTGTTATTTCGCTCCAATGTTTAATGTAAACAAATTTTTAATAATATAAATAATATATATTAATATATTAATTAAATAAAAAAATCGTCTCTGAAATATGAAGGCAATTGACGAACGCCATATATGTTATTTTGTTATAATTTCATCTGCATATGCTTAAAATAATATACATGTATATAGAATTCAGAATTTATTAATTGCAATTATGCAATTATACTTTTAATCTTTGCTACGTGTATTTTGTATTTCAATAAATTAGTATTTTCTTATATAGATTCACGATAAAATATTGATCGCCCGGTTGCGTTGATAGAAATCATAAACGATAAATAAATAATAAATTATAAGAATAAAAGCGTTATTATTGCGTGCTTTGTTTTAGAATTAGTAATATATAGTAATGATCGTCTGTAATAAATAGAAATCGATTTGCGGTACAAGCTATAAGTGTACATACATACAATCCTCATCAGTCACCGTTCACTGGCGTAACGAATCGCGCGGCGTGTGTTGCATTTTGCATCATTTTACCCAGTAAACGGGAAAGGATTAAAATTTTTTAATTTATAGATTGAAAAGGATTTGGTCTTCGTGGAAATAAATGCATTTCTATTTTTTATAATACAACTATAAATATAATATTAATATTATATGATCTTTTTTGGATTTAGATGAATTGAAACAATGCATTTCCTAGTCACAATTTTTAACTGAATAACATTCATGATTCATTTTCACGGAAAAACTTTTTTTTGAATTTAATTAGAAAAAATGCATTTCCTATCTAGAATTTTGAATTAACCAGTATTCACGATTTACTTTTTAAAGCTGATTTTTTTTTTAATATTAAATGGCATAGAAAATGTACTTCATGATTATTCCTATAAATGAATACAAATAAGGCATTATAATAGGCATATTGAAATGGATTTAGATTTTTAGAAGTACGCGTTTGTGAACGTTGCAATAAATCTTTTTCAATCTATTTCAACCCATTCTCATTTAATTACTGGGTAGGTATAAAATTTTATAAACGGTTCTGACGAAACCTGCCGGGTGTGTTACGCACCTATAAGACTGCATTTATTCCGTGTGCGAGGACCAGGGCCATCCGAAGGAAGAATTAAGACACCGGCCTTACTGCTCGTGGTAGCTCGGCTCGGCTCGGCGACAGCTCGTATCTGTATATCATTCAAGCGTGTGTTTTGAGCGATCAACTCCGTGATCGTGAATCCGATGAAAAATTGACAAATCAACATGTCACGATTGTGCATTTCAAAATTGTGTCCCGCGATAAAAAATACTGGAACGCTAGAGACGCTTTCGAGTCGAAAGCACTTTAAAAACGGCGATTGTTTCAATGCTATGTGTTGGGGCTGTCGGAGAGGTTATATTCAGCGGCAAGGCATAGCCTTGTTGCTAGCACCTCGAATCTATACTCAATACAGATTACTGGATAGAATTCTCTTAGATTTTTCTGGAGCCCTTTCAACAATTACGAAAAAAAAGTACGAAGAGCACGGCAACAAGCGTGACAGGAGACATTACAAGCATCTTGGAATGCTTCTGGGCAGTCTTGGGCTTGTAGTGGCTTTTTGTGACACTTCACATCTTAAAGGTACACACTGTGATGAAAAATATATACAGGGGTTTCATTTCATCAAACCAACAGGCTTTGCTAGCGTATTCGGGTGGTCGTTTTAAGCAAAATGAAAGCTCATACAGCGTGACTAAATTTACCTTCGTTTCCAAAATACGAACACTTGTTAGTGTTTTATACAAGAGTTGGATAGTGCTTAGTTAAAAAAAGTTAAAAGTTAAGTTAAAAAGTTAAAAAGTTAAATAATTTTAACTTAACTTAGTTACATTTTAGGCTCTTAACTTTTAACTTAATTTAGTTACATTTTATTGGTAACTATTAACTTTTGATCTAACTTTCTTGAAGTTACATTTTTAGTGCTTCTTGTAAACCCAAAATAAAATACATGTCTAAGTTAGTGTCTTCAAACTCAAATTTGAGAATACACATCAAGGCAGTTGTAATAATATAATAAATATATAGTCTGGCCGTGGGAAGGAATCACTGTTTGCAGATCTTCTGTACATTAAATCACGTTGGAAGAAGTCCTTCGAAATCGGTCCTCTTTCTGCGGCTCAACAAAAATAAGTATAACAAATATATACTTTAGAAACCCTAAAAATTATAAAATGAAAAAATTTAACTTTAATTTTTCAGTTACTTTTTTTTATTAACTTAACTTTTAACTCAATTTTATTATGGACTAACTTGTATCTTAACTAAGTTAAATTTTTAGACTGTTAACTTTAACTTAACTTAGTTAAAAAAAAATTAACTTATCCAACCCTGGGTCTCTATAATGAAAGACCTCAAATTTCTATGTATTAATCATGTAATTTATTGATATGAAATTATCATTAGTATTACGCATTATTATTACAATCACTACATTGACACAATTAAAGAGGAATGTTCTTTTATTCACATTATTATCCAAGTTGTTCACCACAGTATTGTAAAGGTGCTGTGACCCATCGTTCCAGTGATTGCATCCAGTGAATATTAGTAAAGTTGATGACAGAGGCTACCTGCAGTTTCTGTTATCTCCTTATTAATTTTTTCTTGATGGACTTTGTAGGAATAAAAAATCTTAGTATTTCACGTGTTTGATATACTTCTGATACATTGATATTTCAGTTCATATCTTGTGAACAAAGCTAAATTAACTATATATATACCTATATATATGAACTTTTTTGCTTAAAATGACCACCCTAGCAAAGCTTGTTGGTTTCATGATGGATTATATATATATATATAATTAATCATATTATGAAATATGAATAAATATTCTTAATATTCTTTACAGAAAAAAGATTTTTTCGCGCTGTCCAATATGGTAATATTTCAGAATTAAAGAAGGTAATGAAGTAATAGTTTTCTAATGAATGTAATTGAGATTCTGATATTATTACTATAAAGAAAAATAATTCACAATACTATTACTGACATTAAATGTTTTTTTATACATTCATACATTTATACAAAGCAATATACATATATACAGGGTATATCAAAAGCTTGGATACAGTCAAATATCTCGTAAACAATGCAGTTTTGAAAAAAAAATTTTAGACAAAAATTGTAACGTTTAAACAACGCAAATTTTAAATGCATTGAATGATGATATCGAGTTGATCTTAAGTGATGTTGTCAAGATACACCTTGGATAACGCTAATGTCTGGTATTAAAAATTTATTAATCAATAACTTGAAAAATACTTAATAACATTGAGACTTATTATAACTTTTATCTGAAAATGTCTCAGCGTTAGCTTAAAAAAAAAAGAGAGACAAGTTGACTTTGACCTGACCTTATCAATGTCATTCAAGGTCAAATGGATATTATCATTCAATGCATTTTTTTTAATCTCACAACTTTTGTATGAAACTTTTTTCAAAATTGCATTATTTACGAGATATTTGTAAAAGTCTGATACTGTATTAGACTTTTACTTTTAGCGCATCCTGTATATATATATTTGATATAGTATAAAAAAGAAAAGAGAATAAAAAATACTGTATATATGATATTATTCTAGTCTATAGCAGATGGCATTGATGTAAATACTAGACATCCATTAGGTTGGACAGCATTGCAAACTGCTGCTATAAATCAAAGGGAAGAAATTATAAAAATTCTATTGAAAAATGGTGCTGATGTAAATGCAGGAGATAACTTTGTTAATGTATATAGAACTGCTATGGAAAAGGGCTTACATTCTGTGGATGGTATTATTTTTATTTTACATATAAATACTGTTATTAATACTAAATAAGAGAGCTAACAAACAAAGATTACAATTTCTTATAAATGTTAAAGTTCGAGAATATTGAATGTGAATCTTTTAATATTGACGATTAAATGATTGATTTCAATTTGGATATTTTAGTTCTCACAAAGAGAGAAGAGGAATTTTCTGATCGACTGAATAATCGAGCTTCTTTCCAAGGTTTTACAGCATTACATTATGCTGTGTTAGCTGATTCAAAAGCTTGTGTGAAAGCATTATTAGATGGAGGAGCAAATCCAACTATAGAAAATGAAACGGGATATAGAGCAGTTGAATATGCTAAAGAAGGAGAAATCAAAGAGATGCTCATTAAACATGCCATTAAATATGATGAAATGGTAAAACAAAAGGTATGTACTGAAACTATTTTTTTTTGCTCAAAAGTAGTTACATGTATAAAATTATGTAAAAACAAAATAATTTGCATATTATGTATAAATAAAAATTTTCTTATGGATCTTAGGAAGCAGAGGAACGTCGCAGGTTTCCATTAGAACAACGTTTGAAGCAACATATTGTAGGACAGGAAGGACCAATTTCTATCGTTGCTTCCAGTAAGAATTCTATAATCTTATTTTTATTAGAAAATTATTAAAAGATTTTATTAAAAGATACAAATTATTATATTATCTAATTATATTAGCTATCAGAAGGAAAGAGAATGGTTGGATAGATGAGGAGCATCCACTAGTATTTCTCTTTTTGGGTTCGTCGGGCATTGGCAAGACAGAATTAGCCAAGCAATTAGCCGCTTATATTCACAGAAATAAATCGGACAGTTTTATTCGATTGGATATGTCTGAATATCAAGGGAAACATGAAGTTGCAAAATTGATTGGAGCACCACCAGGGTATAACCTTTTAGTATTATTTATTTAATAATTTATTATTTGTTGTATTTCAAATTAAAAATTTTATATAATTTCATATAATAGCAATGAATGTTTAAAAACTTGTTATTTAGATATGTGGGACATGATGATGGTGGACAACTGACAAAACTTTTGAAAAAGTGTCCTGCTGCTGTTGTATTATTTGATGAGGTTGACAAAGCCCACCCTGATGTTTTAACTGTTTTGCTACAGCTTTTTGATGAGGTAGTTATTTACTGTTTAAATTATTTATCTATAGAGATCTTTAATAATGCAATAATATTTACTCTTAAGGGAAGACTAACTGACGGTAAAGGAAAGACAATCGAATGTAAAAATGCTATTTTTATAATGACATCAAATTTAGGAAGCGAGGAAATTGCAGAACACGCAATGCAACTCAGAGCAGAAGCTGAAAATCTATTAAACCACAGATTAGTCAATACTGCTGATGAAGATCAAGAGCCTGAACGTATTGAGATATCTCGTAATTTTAAGGATCAAGTAGTACGTAAAATAAAAGTATATAAGAGATATTTTTAAAAATGTAGAAAATTGTATAATAACATCGTTTTGTAGGTACGCCCAATACTTAAAAATCATTTTCGGAGAGATGAGTTTTTGGGAAGAATAAATGAAATTGTATATTTCTTACCATTTTCTCGGGCAGAATTAATAGAATTAGTCGCCAGAGAATTAAAAGCATGGGCTGCACGTGCAAAGGAAAGACATATGATTGAATTAAAATGGGACAGAGAGGTTCTATCAGTATTAGCGGATGGATACGATGTTCATTATGGTGCTCGTTCCATCAAGTACGAAGTGGAAAGGCGTATTGTTAATCAATTAGCAGCAGCTCACGAACGAGGAGAACTTGGTACCTACTTTTTCTACTTTTCTTGTCTGGTTATTACATATTACATAATATTCTCTAATGAAAATGTTCTTTTTAATAGGTAGAGGATGCTGTGTATTGTTAAAAGCAAAGTGGCATGAAAGTGGAGCAAGCATAACTCTTTCTGTTCAGCAGAAGGGTTCAAAAAAGTTTGTTGATATTGTAGAAACAGATAAATTAACGAAAAATATTAGTTCAAAATTCTTATAACTATAAAATAGTGTTGTATTAATAACTTATACAAAACATGTTGTTATTTGAAAAGAAAGATTATGTGCAAAAATCTGATGATTTGTTATGATACAATGTATAAATGCATAAATAAAAAAGACTTAAATTTAAGTGTTGTGCTGTACAGTAAATACAATGTCACAAAAATTATTTCATTATTATTAATATATTTTTTTATATATCGTTCTGCCATAATTTGTAACAGATAATTTTTTTTTTACTTAAGATCCCAATGTATGCGCATCTTATTGCACGCATATACAGGGTGTCTCAGAATAGGTGTATGACCGCTCATGGGTAGATAGAATGGACTAAATTGAATCGAAAAGTCCTCTACCATTTTGCAAAATTCGCAATATTTAACGAGATATTAATTTTTGAATATCGCCGAATGAGCGAGTATTCGTTCGGCGAGTTCGGCCCGCCGCCAATACTAGCGCGCGACCGTCCATCGAGTGCGGTTGCCTAGCGCGAGACGCGGTGAGTGGGGAAGAGCGGGGAATTGTTTACAGCGAAAATGGCTGTG